AGTCTGTGGTCCTGAGCAGAGCCAGAGAGCTGTGTCTGTTCTCCAGCTGATATCCTGGCCCACTGTAGCTTATCTGAAGCCTGTTGCTCATGCCTGTATCTCCTGAGCTACACTGAGGTCAGGAGCACTGGGCTGTGTCAGTAGCTGCAGCTGTTAACTCAGGTGTGTCTCTCGAGGCAGTAGAGTCACTGGCTGTGTCTTGGGGGCGAGGGTGAGTGTCTTTCACCCCAGGGGAGTGCCAGTGTGGGACCCCCACTTTCTCTGGCAGGGTGAGCAGGCGCTGTCCCAGGAGATGTCAGGTTGTCGTGGTTGTGGTGCTCAGTGCAGTCATGGTGAGCTCTCTTCAACACCCTCACCTTGCTGCCTCATTGGACTCCTTTGGATCTCAAGTTTCTGAGCTTCTGCCCAGATATTCCTCCTCCACTTGGTTCAGTCAAGCGCCATAATCACACTTATAGTGTTAAGCAGGATCTTACTTTCAGTGCAAGCCAAGAGAAAGATTCTTCTTCTTATTATAATCTGCTGTATCTGGACACTTCATTCTAATGATATTCTAATGATATTCATAGCCCTGCTGCGATACCTATAATTGATTGGCTGTGAAAACTATGGTGGACTTGATTGATGAGGTACTGACTCTGTAATGAGATTCCAGTGGAACCTGTTTCACAAGAAGAATGAGGTGGTTCAGGAGGATCCCTGGAGTGATCTTGCCTGTGAAGGATGCACAGAGATCCCACTGAAAGGTGATTGATAAAATCATTGAATTGATTTGGGATGACCTCTACAGTTCAGTTGTGTATGTGTGTGGAGGGGCTGTGTTAGTTCCTGTCTACAGTGCTTAAACATTTCAGTAGGAATTCTGCTCTGTCGTTCTACATTTGTGTGAAGACTTTCACCTCCTCCTCAGGTGCTGTAGGAGTTCCAGGCTTCTCTTTCACTGGTGTTGTAGCTTGGAATTTAATATATTAGTGTTGACAGTGAAGTCCAGATTGAATAGATTATCAAAATTCTCATCAGGATCCCCTCTTTCTTTGTCTAGGTGACCTCTTCCTTAGGTCTCAATGAGACTTGTGTGCTTGGGAATTGAAATAGTCCTTGTGGCAGTAAAGTGATCAAAAATCAATTTATGTCTTTAATATGTTAAATTTCCATGGCTTTGACTCTAAACTACATGATATTCATGTCACAAGTTCTTCTTTTATCCTCTACCTTGCTTGTTGATGTTGTAGCTTCACACTTATGATCAATAGGTTCCTTGGTCACTATGTCATTTTCAGAAAACCAAGTCTGGTGTCATTAAGTGGAAAGTCCATAAGTGTCCTGATGTTCCAGGTCCCTAATTTTAATGCTCTTGGTGTTTTTGATCACAGACAGCTGATCCCTCTTCTGTCCAGTCAGGAGTGATGGGACAGGTATAGGGCTTATGTACTGTTTATATATGCCCTGTTTTAGGGCACCTTTTCTAACCACTTCCCACAAGGAGCTACTGTAGATCCTCAATAAGGCTTCTCAGCTGCAATATCATGGTAAGAGAAGCAGCTCCAATAGCGACGGGGGTCCTTCTGTATCTCACTCTGCTGATGGTGACCTTACATTGCCCACAGCCCAGGTTCCCTATCAGTTAGAGATGTAGTCCCAACTGAGCACTCTTCCAACCTCACCCACTGTTTACAGTGTACAGTGAGGTGTTTAAACTGGAATGATTTTATACTGACGGCATCAGTACCTGTAAGACCACTTTCCACAGGGCTGACAGAACCTGTATGTTACTAACTCTTTGTGCACATTCCTGCATGTTCTATAAAAGATCTGCCCTTCCTGATCCACTCTTCTGTTCCCAGGTTATCTGACTGCGCTGATTGTAGCTCTTAGTGCCCTGCTGGTGTGTCTGACACTTCAGAGGATCTGTTTAGCCCGAGGACGATGTGAACGTGAGTAGGAACAGTGCTGACTGTGCTGTAAATACAGATTCACAGGATTCTGATGAGTCAACATCTACTGGGACAAGAACTGGCCCTCTGCCACTACAAAAAACAAGAATAATTCACTGGGAGCAGCAGGAACAGTAAAGAACAGGAAAGGGGCGTCCAGACTGCACTGGGACCTCAAGTGGCTCTCAGAGAGTCGGGGGTGTTTATGTCTTCAGCCCCAGAGGCTGCCTCACGCCTGGGAGCTGAGAGCTCTGGGGACAAAGAGGAGCAGAATCAGTAAGCTGGAGCTGCAGAGTACAGTCTGGTCAGGTGTTCCTTCTGTCTCACACTGAGAGAGCCTCCCCAGAAGAGGTCAAGGTGGGAATTAGCTTCTCTTGTCCTTCAAAACATGACCCCCCGGCCCATCACTCTCTCCCCAACACCTGTGAGGACAAACAAAAGTGTTCAAACATATAACAACTAAATAGACAGACACTGTCTGAAGGACAGATGAAAATGAGACATGGAGGCTGTATGTAAGTCTGACTGCACACTGGAGGGAAAAAAAAAACTTAAATGCCAATCGAGGGGAAACCTCTGGAGTCCCATGGGAACAGACGCCCCACTCCAGCTGCTAGTCATGGATAGATGGACAGCTTAGGTGTCTGAGGGAGCTGTGTGGGCACAGAGATTGACTGCAGGAGAGGACCAGCAGCCTGGAGCTTTGATTCGATGGATCTCCAAATTATCTCAAGCTGCTGAGGTGGCTGTTATAGCTTTGAAGGAGAGGGAAGTGTAGGCTGAAGAGACTCAGTTCCTCCAGCATGTCGGTGTGGGACACTCTCTTCAGACTAAAGAGACTCAGTTCCTCCAGCGTGTCGTTGTGGGACACTCTCTTCAGACTAAAGAGACTCAGTTCCTCCAGCGTGTCGGTGTGGGACACTCTCTTCAGTCTAAAGAGACTCAGTTCCTCCAGCGTGTCGGTGTGGGACACTCTCTTCAGACTAAAGAGACTCAGTTCCTC